CCTTTTTTTTTTTTTTTTTTCAGGAAATTCAGACAATAAATCCTGCTTTGGCTCGACAGATCGCTGTATAGACGCCTCAGTGATCATCCCTCTTCCTCTTTACTGCTAGTTTTAACGTGAAATAAACATGAATGAACATCTCACCCCTCATGTAATCGCTCAAACAGCGTTTCAATTGCAGAAAGGTGTCATTAAAACAGCTTGTAAACAAAATTTCACAGCATTTATTAACCTCAGGCAAATCATCAGTGTCTACAGCTCGTTGTGTACTACAGAAATGACGTCTAGAGAAGAGCATTTTGATAAATATTAGACTTTATACTTTACTTTGACGTCTTAATTATTTAACATGTTTAAATAAATCTTTTATGACAGCCACTCTGTAAATTATTATATTTCAACAAACAAATAGAAATTGTATAATATAGAAGGTAATTTAAAAACTGCATTATGTGCACTTTACATGTTTGCATACAAATTTTTTATTTGAGTGTTGATTATTATAGTTAAAAATAAATAGTAATTGAATTTAAGTTTGAGCTCTGTTGTTAATTGTAACCTTATAGTAATGTAAAAGGGCTCCCTATAGTTTAGAGCAGAAGCTGAGGTAGATTTGAATTGTAGTTGAATTTATTTAAAGAATAAGCAATTTGTTCAGTAAACCATTGTTTAATTAAAAAACATATATATATATATATATATACGTTTAGTTTTTTCCTCCTGCTGTACCGGAACCATACCAAAGCGTCATGTTTGTGTACCGTTATACCCCTAATATCTGAATATAATAGTCAGATTTGGATAATAATAATAACCTTATAGTAATGTAAAAGGGCTCCCTATAGTTTAGAGCAGAAGCTGAGGTAGATTTGAATTGTAGTTGAATTTATTTAAAGAATAAGCAATTTGTTCAGTAAACCATTGTTTAATTAAAAAACATATATATATATATATATATACGTTTAGTTTTTTCCTCCTGCTGTACCGGAACCATACCAAAGCGTCATGTTTGTGTACCGTTATACCCCTAATATCTGAATATAATAGTCAGATTTGGATAATAATAATAAGAACACTTTCTGACATGAAGCTCCAGTGACATCTGCTGGACAAACGCGGTACTGTTTTACTGTAGCGTGTTCGTAATCCGTGTTTCCGTGTGTGTGCAGCCTGCGGTTGCCATGGTGACGGCTCTCTGTCCACCGTGTGTCACGTGATCACGGGTCAGTGTGAGTGTAAGGCTCACGTGATCGGACAAACCTGCGGCCGCTGTCAGGTACGTCATCTACTGTGACCTTTAATAACTTCAGAATTCATAAACTGTTAATAGCTGCCCGTTTGTGTAGTTATTCTTTGTCATGTTTCATTATGTACTTTTCCTTTTCATTCTTTATATGTACTTCATTCATTCATTTATTATATGTACTTTTTTTATTTTCATTCACTTATATAAGAAAAGTATACCGTGTTCAATAATGGTTGGCTGTCATTTATTACCATTAATAGTTTTATTATATATTATAGTTCATATAGTATTCATCAATATTATCATTTATTTGCTGTTTATTAATATCATTAATATTTTTTATATATTATAATTATGCATTAATAATTCTCTTTTTTACAGTTTAATATAATTAATAGTTTTATATATTATAATTATGCATTTATAATTCTCTTTTTTACAGTTTAATATAATTAATAGTTTTATAAAAACTATTATTTTATTATAAAAATATGTATTGCATTTATTATTAATAATAATAATTTATATAATATTTATTAGTAATTCTCTTTGACTTACTGTTTATTAATATCAGTATTATATATTATTCTCAATTGTTCATATAATATACATCAATAATTATCTTTTATTTACTCTTTATTACTTTCATTAATATTTTATTATATTATTATTGAAGATTCCTTATCGTATATTATTAATAACTCATATAATCATTAATAATTTTCTTTTATTACTTTTTATTATTATAGTTTTACTATATTATTAATAGTTCATGTCATATTCATTCATAATTCTCATACTCTTAGTATCATTAATAATTTAATTGTTTTAATTATTAATAAAGATTAATTGTATTATATATTATTAATCATTCATATAATATTCATTACTAATTTTGTTAGTTACACTTATTAATGTAGTATATATTATTAATAGTTCATATCATATTCATTAATACATTTCTTTTATTGTCTGTTAATTTATATTATTAGTTTTATTATAAATGATCAGTAGTTCATGACATTCTCTTTTATTTTCGTATGTTTACGGTTGTGTGTGTGTCTGTCTGTGTGTGTGTGTGTGTGTGTCTGTCTGTCTGTGTGTGTCTGTGTGTGTGTGTGTGTGTTCCAGGCGGGTTATTACGGCATCAGCAGCGGCAATGGCTGCAGACTGTGTGAATGTAACCAATCAGGCGCTCTGTCTGCGTCATGTGACGAGGAGGGGCGGTGCCAGTGCATCACCGGGGTGACGGGTGATAAATGTGATCGCTGTGAGCGCGGATACTACAGCTTCACCGAGAGCGGATGCACACGTAAGGACAGCAGACACGTGTTAATGTTCATGACATGCACTGATGCACAATGAGAGCTGTGACTAGTTTAGGCTAGTGATGGGAGAAACTAACTTTTTCGAAGCGCTCAAAACACCACACGCTGGTGACTCCTGCTGACTGAAACTGATCTGAGATCAGGTAAAAACCATAGACGCTGGTTCAG